TCTATAATGATGTTTGATCTCTTTCTTTTTAGTCAAAGAGTATGGAACTAAATCGTCTAGATTATTATTTTTTTCTTTGTACTCATTCTTTTATCAGCAACATTCATTGGATATGCCGATCGGCACCCTTTAGAACCATATGAAAGTATTTCAATTTCCAACTGAAAATAGTCACAGATAAAGTCGGTCTTACAGTAGTTTACAAAAACTTGGAACATTTATGTTGCGCTCTCCGTCAGAGGGTCAAAATGTCAAATTTGTTTGGGAAAGATACCTTGTAATAAAATCCTTCGATATATCTCCGAACAAGTTCTAAAGTTGTTAATTAAAATAAAATGTGCCGGCTTTGACGGCACGTGAAATTTGTCTTGACTAGCAAAGCTCATGTTTCGATATACAAGTTGAATCCAGTATCATTTTTCTTGATGAAGTAATAGAAAATGACATTATAATCCTGGATTATGACATACCAATATATAGAAGGATAACGGATCTATGTCATTAGCACAACTACAAAAACAGCAAATTTATGTGAAAGTTCGTCATTTCAAAAGAATACGATGTCCAATGCAGCGGAAAAAGATGAAATCCTTCGTCTTCAATCGATCGCTAAATTTCTCGACGGTTATGTTATACTTGCTCTAATTGTTATCGGTACGATAGGAAATGTAACCAATATCATCGTTTTCCTTCGACATCGTTCACTTCGTCGTATGTCAAACTGTATTTTCTTGATCATGTTTTCCATAAGTAATTTAACATCTTTATGGTCATCTCGTTTCCCACGTAGTATTCTTACTATTACCAGTATCGATGTATTAGCTGCTTCGATCTTTTACTGCAAGTTTCGATGGCTTTTTGGACGTTGGAGTTTCTACATGTCATACATATATCTTTGTTTATCTTGCATTGATCGATATCTAAACACTTCTCGTCATGAAACATTCCGACGTTTAGTTTCTTTCAAGCGAGCTGTATTTGTTACAGTTCTCATCAGTTTAATTTACTTCATAATCTTTGTACCTGATGCAGTTTATTATTCCGGATATGAATGTACAGCATCAAGCAGTGATCGTGCGATATACCAACGATTTATTAATTATTTTAATTTAGTTATGTGCAGCACTGTTCCTATGGTTATTCTAGGTACGTTTTCTTTATTGACGTGGTATAATCTTTATTCAACACGAAACAGTCCACGTACGACATTTTATCGTCAAGTTAATTTGATGATGATAGTCGAATTCACTGTCATATTTATCGGTGTAACACCAAACTTTGTATTCAATATTTACACAGAAATTACTCAATCGATGGTTAAATCAAGATTAAGAACGGCGCAAGAAACTGTTTGGAGAAACGCGTGTGTTGTTTGTAGCTTTTCATTGTATATCGGAACGTTCTATATTTATTTCATGATCTCCAATGCATTTAGACAAAATGTCAGAGCAGCTCTTTGTTTTAGAAAACTCAATCAAATTGGAATACAAACAGCACCCGTGCAATATATGAGAACTACTCACTGAACTCGAACCACATCTCCTTTTTCTTTATCTTTTTTGTTTGATGATTAAAATACATGTGCATGTCTTTCATTCTCATTCGTAAAAATGATTAGTAGTGATTCTAACAACATGTTTGCTCGATTTACTTCTGGAATAGCTCGGCTAAGACAAGTTTAATCTATCTATCCAATATAGTTGTATCGATAAAAAACACGTGCATTTCTTTTTGCACATTCAAATAACAACTATCGAACTATTTCGATCAACGAAGTCACGCTTCTTGTGAATGAGAGTGTTGCATTCAATAATTCACACATCTTATCAGGAAAATGTTCAATTGAATTATAATACGTACTTCGATCTTATCTCTTCATTTCGTGCTTCCATTCGATGGAGTTCAGTCAAAATACCCACAGTCTCAACATATAATTCAATGATCTCAGTGATCTAAATCGGTGAATTTTGCCACATATCAAGATATGTAAGGACTTAATTACTTAGGAGCAGCCATAACACACAAACGTGATTCATCGAATCGTGAAGTAGTGATATAAAACGTATTTCTTTCTTGAATAGTCTGTTTTTGATACGACCGCACTTTAATAACGGGATTTTGTACTGAAAAAACGTCTGGAAATCGATTACGAATACTGCCATTTACAGCTGCGTTTTTCTTTTCCTTGCACAACAAAGTGTACAAGTCTCAATTGCGTTTATGAAACGTGGAAGCACGGTGGATTCATGTCTTCAATGCAAACCATGTATGCGATTTTCCTTGGTTTTCGCTTGATTGGTTACTTCTTGAAGTTATTGTTTAAGTAAAAAGCATGTCGAACAAAATTGTTCGGATTTATGTTTAACATATTTAATTACTGAACTTGATAAAGTAACACAAATCTACGGAGGTTGTTCGAGAATATTTTTTTTGCAAAATTCCAAAAGTTTGCCACTGGATT